AGTTATCCAATATAATTTCTAATCTACAAGATAGGATTAGTGATTTGCTAATAAAGAAAGTCTCCAAAACACTAGAAAGATTAAAAGCAACATTCTATTATAGAGGTAACAAGGCAGATAGACTGTTAACCAACACACTTAAAAAAGAAATTAAACATAAAAAAATCTCAAAAATTATATATAAGGGCGAGACTTGTCTATCTCCAGAGAGAATTGGAAAGGCTTTCAATGATTATTACTATCAATTATATAATCTTCCCCACAAATATGCAGACCCAAAGGATTATTTTAAAAACATGATTATGCCAAAGATCTCAGAATCCCAACTAAAGGAATTAAATGCTCCGATATCTTTACATGAAATACACACAAGGATAGAAACTTTAAAATCTAATAAAGCACCAGGTCCGGATGGGTTCACAGGGATCTTCTTCAGACTATTTAAAAATGAAATATCACCCCACTTAGAGACTACTTTTAATGAATTCATATTAAAAACTAAAATTCCAGAAGAAATGCTTAAAGGCAACATTATTCCAATATTAAAAACAGTAAAGAATCCAGACAAAGTAGATAGTTACCGACCGATTTCCCTACTAAATGAAGATATCAAGTTATACGCGGAATATTTGCAGATAGAGTTAAATGAGTGGTTAGTTACATAACACATAGAGACCAGGTGGGCTTTATTCCGGGACGACTCTCTATTAACCAAACAAGAAATGTGATTGGAATATTGGAACAGGCCCTGACCCTGTCATTGGATGCTGAGAAAGAATTCGACAGGGTCAGCTGGGCATTTGTTAGAGAATCCCTGTTATCCTTTGGATTTACAGGTGAGATACTCAGTGCCATTATGGCCCTATATAGTGATCCCCAAGGTAGAATTGTAGGCCCTGGTATTACATCTAAATGGTTTAGAATTACAAATGGTACACGCCAGGGCTGCCCCCTATCACCGCTTTTATACATTCTATCGATTGAACCCCTGGCTGTTGATATAAGAGCTAATCAGGATATAAAAGGGCTTGGAGATAATAATAACCCAAAAATTAAGCTATATGCTGATGACGTTTTGATAACTATTAAGAAACCTGAGGAATCTATTGACCATGTTGTGCAAATGATTCAAAATTATAGTAAGTTTTCTAATTATAAAATAAATACAGAAAAATCTACGGCACTATATTTAAATACACCTCAAAATAATATTGATAATATAGAAAATAAATATGGATTTAAACAAGTTAAAACGTTTTTCAACTATTTGGGTATAAAAATCTCAAAAAACCCAAAGAAATGGTTAGAAATTAATATTTTACCGATAATTAAAGAAATGAAGATCAATTTAAAAAAAAATGGAAAAATCTGGACATTTCCTGGTCAGGGAAAATAAATACATTAAAAGCATATATCGTACCGAAATTTTCATATATTATGAGAATGATTCCTTTAAAAATCCCTGACAGTTGGTTAGAATTAATTCAGTCATCGTTTACTAAATTTATTTGGTCAGGTAAAAAAAAACCTTGAATAAAAAAAGCCATTATGTCTAGGAGAAAAAATGAAGGAGGTATGAGTATCCCAATTATTCAAGATATTGCTCAAGCCAACCTATTAGCACATGTTTTACTAGTAAATAAGGAAGATTCTATAATTCAAAATTGGTACAAAAGAGAACAGACCCTAACTTCAGGAGACAGGGATTATAAATCCCTCTTATGGTCTATAGATAAAGAAACAGATCAAATTATTAAAAATTCCAAATCACTGATAGTCCAACAAATTTTCCCCACCTGGTCTCAATTTTTTAAAAAGAATAGGTTTAAAAATAAAGATAATTCCTCGTATAAATCTAGATATTCTATCAAATTTAATGACAAATATAAATTTGGAAACATGGATCCTTAAGGGTATAGAAAAGATATCTAATATCCTGAGAGGAAGTATACTAAAATCATTTGAACAACTTCAAACTGAATATGGTATATCACCCATCGAATGGTTTAACTATATACAGTAATATCCTTTTAAAAAACATTTTTGAGATTTAATCCTCTTGAACCTTCAGTTAGGTTTCTTTCAGATATATATGAACAATCAGACTATACTCATCTAGTCAATAAATGCCAAAAATTAATATGTAAGGCTCAGATCAAATCAATTCCCTCTGCAATAATTAAATGGAATTTTGATTTGAAAATAGATATAACTATGAAAGAATGGAATAACTCCCTTAACACATTATACAAAGCTTGCCATTGTTTGAATATACATGAAACTCACTATAAGATATTAAACAGATGGTATAGAACTCTTAAAAAAAATAGCAAAAACGTATCCCACAGTCCCCCCTAACTGTTGGAGATGTACTGAATCAACCGCAGATTTTAACCACATTTGGTGGGACTGTCCGATAATCAGACCTTTATGAGAGACGACAAACCAATATTTGTCAACTTTATTGGAACAGAAATTGAATTTGACTCCAAATATGGCCTTATTACATATGGATATGGGGCTGATTAATAGAGAATTCAGACCAATTATTTTTCATATCCTAATGGCAGTTAAAACATCAATAGCCAGAAATTGGAAGTCTCCCAGGGTGGATAGCTGGGCCAAGATTCACCATCAAAGCATTTTTCAGTGCAAAATGGAACGAGCTATTACGAACTTTGCCCCAAAGAAGGGCTACTATTATAGTTATTAGGACAGATGGATAAATAAATTAGACCCCGGTACACTGTGAACCAAACAAATGTTTGTTTTAGTTAGTCTGTATGTATATTTGGCATTTAAAATAAAAAAATAAAGGAAATAAAGATAAATTAAAATGGGAGATAGGAAGATATACATATACCGTATTTATCGGCGTATAACACGCACCGGCGTATAACACGCACCTCATTTTAAGAGGGAAATTTCAGGGAAAAAAAACTTAAAGGACCACTATAGTGCCAGGAAAACATACTCGTTTTCCTGGCACTATAGTGCCCTGAGGGTGCCCCCACCCTCAGGGACCCCCTCCCGCCGGGCTCTGGAGAGAGGAAGGGGTTAAACACTTACCTTTCTCCAGCGCCGGGCGGGAGCTGTACTCCTCCTCTCCTCCTTGCTCGC